TAATGTTGAAAAATGCAAAGTTATGCACTTCGGCGTAAAGAATACACAAGCAACGTATACCCTTAATGGAAGCGAATTAGGGATAACAACACATGAAAAGGACTTGGGAATTGTTATAGACAACAAACTATGCAACAATGTGCAATGTCAATCAGCAATGGCCAAGGCCAGTAAGGTATTGTCATGCATGAAAAAGGGCATTCATTCTCGGGACAAGAATATAATTTTGCCTCTTTATAAATCACTGGTAAGACCCCATATTGAATATGCTGTGCAATTTTGGGCACCTGTTCTAAAGAAGGATATTATGGCACTAGAAAAAGTGCAGAGGCGGGCTACAAAATTAATAAAAGGAATGGAACATATCGGCTATGAAGAAAGGTTAACAAATTTAAACCTATTTAGTTTAGAAAAACGTCGCCTGAGAGGGGATATGATAACATTATACAAATATATTCGGGGCCAATACAAACCATTGTGTGGAAATCTATTCACAAACTGGACTTTACATAGGACACGAGGCCATGCGTTTAGACTGGAAGAAAGAAGATTTCGTCTAAGGCAAAGGAAAGGTTTTTTTACTGTAAGAACAATCAGGATGTGGAATTCTCTGCCTGAAGAAGTGGTTTTATCAGAGTCCATACAGATGTTCAAACGGCTACTAGATGCATACTTGCAAGAACAGAATATTCAAGGATATAATCTTTCAATGTAGGGTAATAACTGCTTGATCCAAGGATAAATCTGACTGCCATTCTGGGGTCAAGAAGGAATTTTTTTCCTAGCTTGTTGCAAAATTGTGCTTCAAACTGGGTTTTTTTGCCTTCTTTTGGATCAACAGCAAAAAACAAATGTGAGGAAGGCTGAACTTGATGGACGCAAGTCTCTTTTCAGCTATGTAACTATGTAACTATGTAACTATCAGAGGATTTTTACTCCACACAATAAATCACAATTTCTTTATAAAAATATAATTTATTGTGACAAAAATAAAATAATTGTAAAATGTATTTTGGAACAGTGTTAATGTTGAATCTTCTTAATTTCTTCTTATCTTCAGTTGATTGATATATATACACGTCTTTTGTATATATAGTCTTGGGCCAAATGCTCGCCACAATAATATATGTATATATTATTGAAAAGTAGTAATACGCAATCTGACTTACGGTTTCTTCACGTTTATTCTTTGTTACGGATATATAATAAAACATAATAAATTATGTTACAGGATAATGGACATTCAGCAGCAGATGGTAATTGCTGGACTTCTTTTGGGAGAGTTACATCGTTGTACAGAGCCAAGAGCCAAGCCAAGACTGAGAGCGACCTTGTGTCCCTCTGTTACTATATAGAAGTGTTCATACTAACGTCAGCGTTTAACTCTAGCCAAATAAGGACAAAACCCCCACATCCACATTCCAGAGCTCTTGGACAAAGAAAGCCTTGTGACTTATTGATACCATCTGTTACTTATGTCAATCCACACATCCATATATATAATCAATAGAAACATAGAATATGCAATATTCTACTTTCCCTCTGTTTATGGTTTGTTTTAAAACCATAACACAATGTCACTAACCTGTCCATTCATACATCACTCGTATCACAGTCATTGAGCATAGAACAAGATGTAGTCACAACTTTCTATTATATGAGAGTTCTTAGAAGGTCGAGTTTCTATCCCTCATACTGCTTACTTTACTTCAAAACTCCCTCTGTTTCAGCTATGTATTGATATCCATAGCCCTGTTACATCATAACTACTTGAAAATATATACATATATAACAATAATAAATGAATAAAATATTTACAAATGTTGATCCAATAAACAATAAAACAATCAGAAAGATCTACCTGCTCTGGTACAGTCATATCTTTGTAGATAACAAAATCCAAGATCGTAACTTTCTAAATAATAACTATGTATCACTATCATACTCCTACAGACACATATAGTATTTTTATTCTCAATACCTGATATTACTTAAGTACTAATACCTGTATTACTATAATATCCGTCCAATTATATTCTAGCAACCTTAAAATCTTCAGGTCATTTGTATTCATGAATTACATTCCTATACCATTAATACCACCTAGTGATGATTGCATCAGTAGGCTCTCACTACCTAAAATATACCAACACTACTTATAAGACTCATTCAAAGGATGTGTTATCAACCATGAAGTTCTAAAATAATTCTTCAAATAATGTTCATGGTGTTGACAATACTTATTGTCCTAGAAATTCTCCACCCAGAAATCTTTTTATCATAGATTTGTTTTTGTTCACATAATTATAATTTTGACTAAAATTCCACCTTGTAGTAACAAACATTTCATTCAACAGAAACATGGTTTACTTTAAAAGAACTTGGAAAGAATAATTTAAATTCATTAGCATAAAAGCAGGATTGTCCTAATGTTCTGACCAATCCATATTCCTTAGTACCCTTCAACTGACTAAAATAAAATAAAATAAACTTGGGGTCATACTGCCCAGAAACTCTTATTCCTAGTCTGTGTCTAACAAACTCAGGGAAATCATAAAACAACTTCAATTCAATTAATATCCAGAAACCTGTTCTCCCTAGTCCATACCTTTATAGACTAAACTCAATTCAATTCCTCTTGGATCTCTGAACTCTTATATCCAAGGCATTCTTAATGTATATAATTACTTCATATTAATCAATATAAATTATCCTTCCTTAGTTTTCTTCCTTATGTCACCATTGTTTGTTTTACTTTACCTCGATTATAAACAAATTACTCATTCTTGTGAATCTATGAAATACTATTAAACTCAATCTTTGTAGTATTAAGTAACCATGATCCTTATTTTATCACTTCATATTTTATCTACTTCTGATACTTCTCATCCTATGTATAGGTAATAATATAATAGTTATTTTCATAAAACTATCCTTTCATAATTTTACTTTATGTGTTACACATTTATAAATACTCTTTTGGTATTAATACTCATAACTGTTACATAACTTTTCATTGTCTGTTTTCTTCTTCATTATTATTTAGGAATATATATGTATGTTAGTGTCAATCTTTTAATTCTTTGTAAGTCTGTTAATCTTCTGTATCGAATGAACTCTGTAGAATCTTCCATCACAGTTTGCAGATCAGATGAAAAGTCTCTTTCCAACAGTCGATGTCCAGTTGTCTAAAGGAATGCTTTCCTGATTTATTGCCACATGGATCTGTCACGCTTTACCTACATTAAAACAAATAACATGTGCAGCATCAATACAATGGCTTACAATGTTTATATCTCATTATTATTATTATTATACAGTTTAACATTGAATTATATTGACTACACAACATTCTCATTTCTTCTCATGAGATCTACCATCTAGTGGTCATTACATTTATGCCATGTGATGTATAATCTTTAAATTTCCTTTATATCAAAATATCTTTTCTACACATTTTAATTTTCAAACTTTGTATTAATCATAGCCCCCTTTTAAACTGTTTAATAATCTGGAGGTATAACCTAACCACATATAAGATGTTACAACAAAATATTGTTTTCCACTATACTTTAGCAATAGCAGCCATTTTGTCTTAACACTGGCACCATTTTGTCACATGAAACAAACTACAAAAAACATATATTGTTTCCTACATCAAATCTATCTGCAAATCTAGGTTTTATTCTATCAAAACTTTTGTCTTCTATATAATCAAAACATATGTATGTCCAGGCTTTGCAAAATATAGTAATCCATTATCAGTCATGACATTAAAATCTCATTCTCATGAATTAAATCAAAGATTTTAAATCAACCTCAGAAGTAACAACATTGTTTTTTCCTTCTGTAAAATGATTGGAGTTACTGTATAATTGCATCCCCCCAATATAACATACACTGCATGTGCCTAACTGCTACATTAGTATATTTCATTCTGCCATATTTGCAAACTTGATGTAAATTTTAATTTTAAATAATTAACCTAATACTTTCTTATAACACACATAAAAACAATGAAAACAGACTAACAATTCATTTAAAACAACAAACTAACACAGATCTCTATTCTTGTGTGCTGTTCTTAATTTTGGAATTAGCCTTGTGTACATCTGTTGGCACACATATCCATGCTCATTCCCTAAACTGATCATATCTCTTGAAGTTACCTGATTCTTATAACTTTCTGTGTTACACTGCATTGCTTGTTTGTCTCTTAATTTTATCACATGACAGGAGGCTTCATATTTTGCATAACTTTCTTTACTTTATGCCTCCAGCAGCACAAGTCAATCAATACACTTTAAACCAATCAGTAACAGGCATCACATCCATATATAAAGCCCTGACAGACACATGACTTCCTCTTTCTTTGCTGCTTACCAGCCAAGGCACAGGTCAGAGTATTTTGCTCCAAACTGTTTTACTGAATATTGCAATTGTCATTAGTTAATCATTTATTGCTTAACTTTCAGTTTGTTCCAAACTGTTTTTATTAATATTGCTATGGTCACTGTAGTTAGACACCTTATGCTAGACATTCAGTTTTAATCCTTACTGTTTTTTCTGGATACCACTTTAATTAAACTTTATTACTTGACTTTCAGTTTGCTCCAACAGTTTTTATTAATATTGCTATGGTCACTTTAGTTAGATTTTTTTTTTAATGCTAGACATTCAGTTTTTGCTCCAAACTGTTTCTGGATATGCATGGCCACTTTTGTTAAACTTTATTAGCTTGTCCTGCAATTTAGGCCTAAACGTTTTTCATTATTTTGCACTTGCCTTCCATTTGGATTTGTATAGTGTGATATTCTCCCCCTGTTACCCTTCCCCTGAATTAACCCTGTATTTTCTGCTTTATTAGCCTGTTTTCTGTTGCTGGCACCTTTTTTTTTTCTATGCTTTACTCTGGTCTCGCACGGATCGCGGCGTTTTACCGCGAGCACGCTTTTTATTCATTGGTGCTGGGACTTCAGGGCAGGTCTCTGGGGGTTAGGGGTGTCTGGGGGACTCTTTTCCATGCCGGCAGACCGCGATCGTATCCTCGATCGTGGGCCGCACGGCACTTTTGCGCGCGAACGGCGGCCATCTTGAATCTCGCGGCACTCGCGAGATTCACGTCGGCCATGTCGTTTGGCCAGTTCGTGATTCCCACGAACTGGCGGCTAGTTCTGTACTGTTTCATATATTTTCCTGTGAAATAAAAGTTTTACAAGTACTTTTGAGCTCAATATTGTTCATGGGCATGTGGAATAAAGGATTTATATGTACCTTTCCTGGAAGATTATGAATGGACTGTTCACTGCTGAGCTCTATACTGGCATATTTCATTGGCATGTGAAATAAAAGTTTTATATGTAACTCTGCATGAATATGTAGGACTGATCCCTGCTGTGTGCATCTGCTGACAGTTTGCTTTATTCTGTTCTATACAATTGACATGTTGAATAACAGTTTTATTGTACATCTGGAGGATTATGAATGGACTGTCCCCTACTGTGGGCATATAGTGGATGCATTACTCTATCTACTGGCAGGGAAATTAAATAGAGCTGATATCTTACTCAGCTCCCTACTCCCACTGGACCTCACAACCATTGGATACACTCCTTCCCCACAGGGATACACCTCCCAGGACACAGTAGTGGAGGCACATAACGGAGTGATTAACAGGGGTGACCCCCCTTACGCTGGGTGACCCCCAAGCGTGGCAGACACCTCTCCAAAGTGACATTGTGGTACAGGGGTGACCCCCCTTACGCTGGGTGACCCCCAAGCGAATCTGGTTCCTGTCCTAGTGACATACATATACTGGGGTGATCCCCCTACGCTGGGTGAACCCCAAGCGAATATTATTCCGGTACTAGTGACATACATATACTGGGGGGAACCCCCATGCCCTAGGACGGGCTCATATCCACGGAGTACGATCTGTTACTGTATGCACAGACCGGGTCACACTGGATACATGTATATCGACAGAGCCAGGAAGGAGAGCTCACGGTGCTGCCAATTCTCCACAGTACTATATCCTATAAGGGTGACCCCTTGGATAATTTGGAGGCTACCATACCTCCCCATACACGGGCTACGTCCCGACATTACTGACCGCTCATCCCGGTCTTATTGAGGGTGACCCCCTCCTCAGACCACTCCCAGGAAATCTCTAAGTGGTACTGATTGAAACAATTCTGGGTGACCCCCAGTTGTACGTGGAGGCCCACTAAGTGGCAATAAGTGTACTACCGTACCTGACACCTGTTTGGTACCCCATAGACCGAAAGAGTGTCCCAATATGCCATAGGAGACATTCATACAGGGGTGACCCCCCTATGCTGGGTGAACCCCAAGCGAGTCTTACTCCAGTGCTAGTGGCATAGGTACAAAGGGGTGACCTCCTACCGGACAGGGTGACCCCCCGCGCCCTTTCTAGGGCTTCTACCTTCAGAGTACGCTCTGTCATTGTATGCACAGACCAGGGCGCACTAGATGCATGTATTCTGGCACCTCTATGCTTCAACTGGGGTTCCGTACGCCCTTCCCTTAACCGAGAAGGAGAACTCACAGTGCTGCCAAAACTCCACAATTCTAGACCATATAAGGATGAACCCCGTGGACTATACATATTGAGGCTTTCACGTCTCCCAGACTCGGGCTACGTCCCGACATTGCAGACCGCTCATCCCGGTCTTACTGAGGGTGTCCTCATTCTCAGACCACTCCCCGGATCCTGCGAAAATGATACTGATTGATCAAAATTCTGGGTGACCCCAGTTATACGCGGAGGCCCACTGAGTGGCAATAAGCGTACTGTTGTACGATCCTGTCTCCCACGGACCGAAAGGGTGTGAACCAACATGTCGGACTTACCTCAATATCCCCGACCGATTTTCAGGCGAGGATTAAGGCCGCCATGACAGCTCCGGGGGAAGAAGTCCTCTCCAGTATGCTGGCTAACAACCCATCCGACAGAGCAGGTGCAACGGCAGCAACACCAATGGAAGATTGAGATACAGATGTTAGGTCGGACACCCATCATCAGGGGACGAGGACTTCATCCTTCCCCCCTTCTCTGGAGATCATGAAAGAATGGAGGGCAGAAGAGGTAAAAGTGACAAGACCCGCCTAGCAAGAAAGGTTTTTTCTTTGGCACACTGGACACTCCTGTTTTGACTCACGCACCATCCAACAACCAGGGTCATCCGAATGGGGTTAACCGGAGCACTGGGCACACTTTGCCCACTTCTGGCTTAGGAGGCCTATGGGAAAAGAAATCCGAGACAGGCTCAGGATGGAATGCCCACGCCCTCTATGTCCGAACAAGATAGTCCTCACTATGGAGCTCGTGGTGATATGTATGTCCCGATCAGGCCGGGGTCCATGTAAAGGTGTAGGAGGAGGACTCAAAATGAGTTAAGATGAAATACTGGATATGATCAGCCCGGGAAAAAATTCTATACTTTGCGGACCTGACCCCACACAAGACTCACCTCTAGAAGCTCACGATGTGAGGGAAAGGGTGCAAAGGGCAATATGTAGGTTGGGGAACGCAAGGCAGACAGGTGCACAGAACGGCGCAAAGCAGCCCGATTAAAGATGGATTTCAAACTATTGAAGTTAGGGACGAAAGAGCGAGGACCTCAGGCGGACGGACTATCGTTTGGAGAACCATTTATCTCAGCAACGGTTTGGTAGTAAGGAAGAAGATAGGAGACTATCACCCAGTCATCAACCTACGCCAACCCAATGGTTTTGGGGCGTACCGACAACTCAAGAAGGACGGTATCCATCTCTTAGGGGATCTACAAGGTTGGACTTGAAGGGCACTTACCTATAGGTTCACATGGTGCCTCATGAAGTTTCTGAAGTCGGTCATGGTGCACTGAAAAGCAAAGGGTATCTGCTGTCGCATACCTAGACGACTTACCTCTTGCAAATCCAATTCATGACGAGATTTATTTTTACAGTTTTGGGAATTGTTGGGATTCATAGTGAACAGAGAGGAGTCGGTTCGATCCCAGTTCCGAGTGATTCTGTTCCTCTACTTCAGAATAGATTCCACCTCGAGCGGATTACACCTTCCCACATCATTGATAGCGACGATTCGTAAGGAAATTCGACGGGTACGGCGGAAAGGCACCATAATCCTTTGACTATTTCCCAGGACTGCTTCACTACCGGGCCAGACAGTGGCTGAAAGCTCACTGCCTGAGATCCAGACACACCTATGAAATTGGGATCAGAATAGCAAAGACTTCGATAGTACTCATTACTGCGGTAAAGGAGTCAAGCGTGACACCCAGAAGGGTTGTCCTTAATCAGGATCATCCTCTGCTCATTCCATTTTAACTTGCCATTCGGGCGGTTCCAAAAGGAGAACATCATCCATTGATAATGCAGGAGCATCTGGAGTTGGTAGATTGGTGTCTTTCAGGGGAGACTGGTATGTCAAGGGACTATCGCAACTAACTAGAGACCTACTATGGGACTCATGGACACCAGGTATTCACCAAAATAACTTATCCGCATGGAACACCTGGAGTTCGCTGGTGTATGGGAAGGGACTGCGATCCCTTTATTACCCCTATCTCCACGATGCTGGATCTTTATCATACCTTTTCACTACAGGCCGATCGGAACGTTCCATTAACGGGCTACGTTCCGCGATTTCGACGACGCATAGCACGATTCACGACACTCCGGTCAATCAAGAGCCTTTGATATGCCATTTTCTGCGGGGTATCAAACCGTCCAGAACCATGCGTCAAAGTATCACTGGTGTGGGACTTTGATTTGGTTCTTTTGGAGCTAGTCAGATATCACGGTCCTATCCCTCCGTTCTTTGTGCAGTTAAAGCGGTACTTTGTTACATGGAGATCACGACAACACTTAGAATGTCACATTCAGGACATCTGCTGGTCTTATACCAACCGTACAAGCCAGTTACCATGAACACTCTGTCTAGATGGGTTCATTGGTTGTTATCGCTAGCGAGGGTGGAGACGTGTTTGGGTACTCATTCGGTAAGAGGCGCGGCTGCTTCTCAGGCCTTCACGAGGGGGCCTCTATATTTTCAGCAATGAATTGGACACGGATAGACTACTTCCGTATATTTATTTTCGTCAACCACACACGCATCCTTCTCGCTCATACCACAGCTTTAAAAATGCAAAATATGAAGCCTCCTGTCATGTGATAAAATTGTAGATTATGCTAACGTAGTGTACCTATAATCTTAATTTTAATAATGACAGGAGGCGAATATTTTCCCTCCCTGTTTCCCTCCCTATACTCTGGAAAAATTTTATATTCTGGTTTGTCATTTTCTCAGTGTAAATTATAAGGTTTTGGTAATTCAGTATATTTATGAGATGCTTATTTGGTTGACATGTGTTAGATCCGTGTTGATTATTAAGTATACTATGGTTTGTTTAATGTTTCAATATATTAACTTAATATAAATATAGATACATATAGTACTGGATTTAATGTGGACAACAGTTGGTTTCCATCACCTTTCACGTATTTCTGTTCTTTTCAGTGCAATCATCATAGATGGATTCGACAAGATAAAGCGGGAAGGTTTCAAGTTTTGTTTCAAGTTATGTGCTACACGTTACTCAGGACTGTTATTTGAATTCCCTGACGTTATAATAGACTGTTTTTCGCATCAAAGAAAGAGGAAGTCATGTGTCTGTCAGGGCTTTATATATGGATGTGATGCCTGTTACTGATTGGTTTAAAGTGTATTGATTGACTTGTGCTGCTGGAGGCATAAAGTAAAGAAAGTTATGCAAAATATTCGCCTCCTGTCATTATTAAAATTAAGATTATAGGTACACTACGTTAGGATAATCTACAATTTCGATTTAGCTAAAATTGCTCTTATTTGTCTGATTATCAGTTTACAAGGAAAGGCTTTAATTGATTTATCTCCACATGTATTTTCTCTGTCAAAATTTTCAATCAACAAATTTAATTTCTCATTTGCTTTTGATTTGATATCTCGGATAAAATATCTGCAAGACCTTAAATAATGTTGTTTATTGCACCAAAAACAAATAACTTTAGGAGTTATATTCTGCTTTTAATTTGAGCAAATTGGGAGTGGCTCAGCTGTCTGTATCACTCTTTTACACTGAGTCCTAGAAGAAGGAGGAGGGGGACGAGGGGTGTAATATCTGCACTTCTTTCTCTGCCTAATTCCACAAGTCATTTTAACCCCTTCATTATTGGTTTCCCTCCTTAAGTTATCCAAGAACATAGCAACTTCATTCAAAGTCCTTTTTTCTCTAGCAATTACAATTGCAGTTGGATCTAGATCTTGAAATTTTTTCACAAATTCATTAATTAACTGATTCTCAGGAAAATAAGCAACAAATCTATATGCACTTTCAAATTTTACAAGAAAACTAAATATATCCTCCCCCTTGTGTGGTTTTAGTTTTTTCCAACATTTCAGTGTCTGCAAAATCATTCCCTGTTGTTAATTTTATTAATTGTGTTAATCTGTCTTGCTTATTTCCATATATTATTTCATCATTGTTCTCAAATTTTACAAGCGTGGTCAGCCTACATGCCATTTGAGTCGGCAGCCATATTTGAAATAGTCTATTCCTTTGTTCGTCATTTAGGCTGTATTTGTCCACATTTGACTCAAACATTTCAGCATTAGTAAATGCATCCACTGACGTGTCATAAACTGGAATACATTTCACAATTTTCATTAATTGTTCATGGATTTTCAAATTAAGTTTTGCAGCTCTGTCTTGAAATTTACATTTCTGCAAATCACTCTGTGAGGATACATTTTCAGTATCTATTGGTTCTGGGATTAGATTCTGTGCCTTTATTTTTCTTGTATTAACACACACTAGTTTAGCTTCATTTCTAAGCTGGCAAAGAAGATCATTTCTTAGTTCAACACTATCCTCTAGTTCACAGACTTTTTCTGACAATGTTCTCTCTGTTACTTTGTTACACTGTTCATTTAAATCTGATTTGTCTTCTGTTAACCCATTCAAATCTACTTCTTTTTCTGCTGATTCTAAATTGTCTTGACCTGCATTTCGTTTACAAATCAATGCATTGTAAGTACAGACTAGTTTCATAACATTTCTGATCTTTTGTTTTTTTCTTATTAACAAACAATTTCTTGTCAATTTCACTATTGGCAATTTCACATTGTGTGTATAAAGATTGCCACAATACAGCATCTGAATAGCTGCTATTACATGCAAACTGCAATTTACTTTTCTCTGCAATATCATTTATGAATTCCATGTTACTCACCAGATCAGTTATTTCTGTCTATTTTGTTGCTTCATCCACACAGCTGCGCAGTTCTGGGCTGGATGATTGCCAATCTCTGCCACGTGCTTGCTTCTAGAATTCACGTTGTATCTTGTGCTTTTTGTCTCAGTTGTAGAAAATAGTATTGTACAGTCTTTGTGATTTGAAAACTTTCTTTTTCTTACAAACCACAGTTCTTCTATGACAGTCAGTCTAGATTCTTTTTTTCTCTTCAAGTTTGTTTTCCCAGTTCCAAAATAGCTTTGTAACTCGATTCGTCTCTCTCCCCCCTTGAAGTGGGAACAAACCTTGAATAGAAGACTGGCTGGCTAGCCAATGTAAAATCTAGATGAGATTGGTGATAACGTTGAATCTTCTTAATTTCTTCTTATCTTCAGTTGATTGATATATATACGTCTTTTGTATATATAGTCTTGGGCCAAATGCTCGCCACAATAATATATATATATATTATTGAAAAGTAGTAATACGCAATCTGACTTACGGTTTCTTCAGGTTTATTCTTTGTTACGGATATATAATAAAACATAATAAATGATGTTACAGGATAATGGACATTCAACAGCAGATGGTAATTGCTGGACTTCTTTTGGGAGAGTTACATCGTTGTACAGAGCCAAGAGCCAAGCCAAGACTGAGAGTGACCTCGTGTTCCTCTGTTACTATATAGAAGTGTTCATACTAACGTCAGCGTTTAACTCTAGCCAAATAAGGACAAAACCCCCACATCCACATTCCAGAGCTCTCGGACAAAGAAAGCCTTGTGACTTATTGATACCATCTGTTACTTATGTCAATCCACACATCCATATATATAATCAATAGAAACATAGAATATGCAATATTCTACAATAATAATAATAATATGTAACATCCGTGATAATAATAGTGAATATTTAGGTATAACATCGTATACAATGGCAATGGCTAAACACAGTACAACGGCTACAGCAATCCAGTTGTCAAGAACTTGGCAAAATTTATGACAGCTTAGCAAACAACTTCACACAGAACACAGAATTCCACAGAATACAACAGAGCAGCGAGAAGCCATAAAAACTTTGGCTGACAATTAGACTACACTGATTATCTCTTTCAATGCTTCCTAGAATCCTCCTAGGCATATAATATCCTACTCTATTGCAATTTTCAATTAAACAATGTTCATATCACACCATTCCTAGAACAATCCATTAAGAAATAATCTACTAGATTTTACATTAGTGAATATTAACTCTACATAAGATACACTATCTTATTTCAGAGCAAATCAATACATCTGGATAAAAACAGCGGTATGCTAACACGTGATAAATATATAATTAATATAGAATTATCTTGATTCCACCTGCAGAATGGAATGTTTATAACTATATATTCTTTAGTTAACTAAGATATCTAATTATTGAAATCTGACCGAGATTTATCCAGGCATATATCCTGCTATTTGTAAAATTTTATTTAAATCAATTAAATAAAACCAGCATAATTACCAGTTTTTCAAAATAAATAATACTGGAGCGCTAAGTGTGCAAAGGCTCTATAGGGGAAAAAGTTAGAGCTTCTTATGAACTTGTTATTATATGAATATGTTATTATAAATGCTTTATCAATTACAGCTGATATATATTACATAATTACCAGTTATGTTGTACATGTTCTCATCAGATGATCTTATCCGATGATTAGATAGTCCCAGGAATTTGAATGCAAGTATGATTGATGATTGTATGGAGGTGTGCATGTAATAGAGAAAGTGGTGTTGGTTAGCAAGTAATAGTAAAATTCTAAGTGTCCAGGAATTGTTTCTTGAGTTGTGTCCAAGAGAGTTTGAGAGTTGAGTGTTAGTCCCAGAGTGGCCTGAATCTCTCTGAATGTCCCCTCTTCCCTTTGTTCTCACTTTTTAAAGGGCCAGACTCTCTGCACGTCATTAGTTGATCTGGCGAATAGGGAACTGAAGGTGTATGTAGCGAAGGTCTGGTATTTCACAGGTTAACTCCACCAAGATCCCAGTGAGGCTCAGGAACAAGTGATGAAAAATCCCATGAAGCAATAATTCCAATAAGCAAAGCAATCCAAGAATATTCCCATACAGATCCCAATGACTGGACGACACACAGCATTAGGAGCAGAACTGACTTTTATTACACACAACCTCCTTTTAAGCATTTCTCCCATGCAAGGGAGGGATTCACATTCATTAGGAGAGTACCCAATGGCATAGTAGTTACCTCCCACCCATCTCCTCCCCTTAGTATGACACCTAATCCCATTATACAAGACACAGTTTTCCCCAAGTTCTGGATGTACCCCAAGATTAGCAGGTACACCCATACTGGGTGACCAACATATCCAAAATTCACCCAGATCAGACCAGGGAGTTAGGTGGAGGGTGATAAAATACATAGAAATACATGCCATCCACGATTAAACTGTCATTCGCCTGAATGCCCTTGTTTGGTGCTCCAAACTCACGAATGGGGTGCTGATTCATCTTCCCGTTCGGGAGTTATGGAGCTCTGGAGGTATCAGCGGTGTTCAGGTAATCCGATTTGAGTTCCAGACCCTCGACGACCAAACACCGCTGAGCCTTCGTGCGTAAGATGGCCGCCGCCACGTGTTCGTATGCCGAACGGCGGCCACCTAGATACATCAATAAACCACCTATTAGTCTGCGGTTAACACACGGTCGACAGCCTAATTGGAAACACACTTCACTCTGGGGAGGTCTATTAGTTCGGTAGTTTCCATTCGTATGAAATACAGACGGAAACTACCGAACAAACATACGTATGCCATTTACAGGGAATATAAATCAGAGACAACACACAAATTGCAGGATTCTCATAGTTTTTTAAGGACAGCCACAGTGCCATCTGCTACAGTATAGCTAACCTACAGACCACCATCTAGATTTTGGTCAATTGATGGCGCCTTTATATCAACAAAATTTCTTGTCCAGGAAAGAGTTAACTAATTTTGATGACGATTTTGACGTAATTTGGCTTATCTATAATGACCAATATAGCTCAAATTTGCTGTCAGCTTCAAAGCATTTACTTTGGTTTTTCCTGTCTTTGTGGCGGCGATTTTCATTGTAGTTTCTAAAATTGACACCTCCTAACCTTAATTTCACCCTATTTCTTACAATGGGACCTTGTAAGATTTAGAAAGTAAAATTAATTACTATGTTTTATCTATCACTGGCTTTCTTGTGAAGCAGTGAGACATTATTTTTCTATTCCACTAACATTTATTAAATAATATGATATTTCTTCATGAATATTTATCCATGAACGGTCTATATTATTAACATAATACTGATTATATGTAATTACTATAATAGTAAAACAAGTGTATAGTGTATAGATTATTCTATTTCAATAACATTTAGAAAGAGTGTTCCATCCCCCTTTCTGTTAGACCGCATTGCCTTGTTTACATAACGCTTTCCTTAGGTCAGGCTTGTGGCTAGTTACAGAAAGCAAGAAATTATGTGTTTTTTTTAGCCTGAAGATACCAAAATGGAGTCAGCTTTGTTTTAAGTGTGACTGGCAGTAGACACTTTTAATCTCTATCTTCGCACAAAATGTCTGCCGATATAAATATTCTGACATTATGAATATGCTATTTCACTGTTAATAGACTTACCCAGTATTTTTGGACGATATGTTTATCACATGGTGCTCCATAAGGGAGGTTCGTTCAAAAAAAAAAAAAAATGTCAGCTTGCAAGGAGTACAGTGAACAAGGTCATATTGTAAGCAATGAAGCCCTCTTTATATATTTCCTTGTCATTCCATTGCACACTAAATCTTAAAACTTAAAAAAATATTCTTTAATGTAGCATAGAAATCAATATTAATCTGTAAGTAGTGATGAAATTAAATGTACACCAGGACAGCCTGATAGCACATATGCTATTTCATTGGGTAATTATTCAGCACTATATGCTGACATTTAAGCATACACACATGTTTTTAAAACAAACAAACAAAAAAAAAAAACAGTATGAGTGTTGTGACAGGATCACTCAGATCTCTAAGTTTGGCACTCAAACAGCTTTTCTTACGATACTTTGTGGGTTTATAATCTACAACTGCAAATTGCTTTATGGAAACAAATTGATGCATTTTTTTTCAAAGACACTTTGACATTGTATTAAGTTTATGAACCAGCTTATAAAAAGCTTGGTACTTCTCCTCAAACAATTGATAATTGTTTAGCAGATACTTTAATGCAATATGTCTACCAACACTTTTCTGTTAAAGTGATCACGACATCACACAAACTACTATTTTATTTTATAAATCTTTCAAGGATAACCAGATCTGATCCACCTTGTTATCAACATAAATACCCCTATAATTTAAAAGGGGTTACTTTTATAATAGCCATAGAAGGTAATAGGTTGTTGTTCCTCCTGTAAAGGAAAGGAAGACTTACCCTAGAAGCCCATTAAGGTCTAGGACAAGCTCATATACATAGAGGTAATGAGGTGGGGGGCACAGCATCCAAGGAAATGAA